TAAAATCAAAAGAAGAAAATACATGTAGATCATCATGTAGTACATTCTGAAGTAAGCCAAGCCTTTTTCTAGATTGTAGGATCCCAGGAAACCCACCCCCTGAGACACATCCTTTCAAAGTACACACACTACTTGGTGAGTGGAAGTTGCAGTCACCGCTGGGAGTTGCAGTCACACGGAGCACTTTTTATATGCAGAAAGTTAAGGAAAATACAGAGGAATCATTCCCAAAGCCATGATGCCACAGCCAGGGAAAGCCACGTATCTCTCAGTTTGGGTAGAAAATGAGTACTTGGAAGGGGACTTTGTGTGTGTGTGTGTGTGTGTGTGTGTGTGTGTGCACAACAAGGCTGAGGTGAGGATGGGCTCCTGCAGGTGTGGCTTGGAATGTTCTCACATACGTTATGTGCTACTGAGACCACTGCTCCTCTGGGAATGAAGCTCCCTATGTTCAAATTAAGCAGAAGGCGACTTTCAGATACCGCCTGGCTTGTCTGTGCAGGAAAGCTCTTGCTGTAGGGTTTGGGCCTGTGCAGGGTGATTGGTGATTGTATCTCTCCCTGGAATGAAACTGGAAACTTGTAAATCAACTTTGAAGAAATCCCAGGTGCTTTAGGAGCCATAGGTCTCCAAGCAGAGAGAAGTAAAGACTTTTGAGCTGCTCAGGGCATTGGCTGCTGACAAGGCCATATTGAAGTGCCAGTGATGTTTATGGTATCAAGTTGCATCCCATTGCCTGCTGGGGACTGGGTGCCAGCCTTGTACTGAAGTTTAAGAGGGGTTCCTGGATAGCTTTGCTATAGCAGCCAATCTTCCCACATGGGTACCAGTTCAAGTCCAGGCTGACTCACTTCTGATCCAGTTCCCTGCCAAAAGTGTTTGGGAAAGCACCAGAAGATGTTCCAAATGCCTGGGGCCCTGCCACCCTGGTGTGAGACCCAGATGAAGCGCCTGGCTTCTGGCTTCTGGCTTCTGGCTTCAGAAGCCTGGCCCAGCACTGGCCTTTGCAGTCATTAGGGTAGTAACCAGGCTATGGATGATCTTTCCTTCTCCAGCTCTCTGTAACTCTGACTTTCAAATAAATAGTTAAAAAAGTAAGTTCCCAGGAAAACGTAGTGTAATGAGAAATTATTTGTAAAAATTATAATGCATAATGGTAAAGGCTGATGTTAAATACTGTGCCTGTGGAGATCGAGTGACATGTGGCTTTGGTCCTTAGAGAAGTTCATGGTATAAGTGAGTGTGTACTGAACTAGCCTGTTTCTGGACAATCTCTACTTTTCTTGTTTTTTCCACCCATAATCAAAGCCACTGTTGCAGGGATTCATGTTGACAACCTTGGCTTGAGAATCTCTTGAGATGAAAGAAAACCTTGTGTCTTGTGACCAACCACTCAAAGATACTGCTTTGCGATTCTGTCTTTCAGGAAGAGAGAGGTTAACATTTGTAGCAACATTTGTACCACCACCATTATCCTGTTTCTTTGTACTGTGAGACAGTTGTCTTTGAAATGGTATGAAAACTTCAGAATATTCACATATGGTTACAAGTTGTATTTTTTTTATTTGAGCACCCAAATGTGCAGAATTTGTATTCATTGGTTCTATATGCACTTTAGAATACAATCACAATAGAGAAATAACATTTCTGGTCTGGGCCAGTGGCCTAATGGCTGGATCCTCAGATTGCAACTGCTGGGATCCCATATGGGCATTGGTTCATGTCCCAGCTGCTCCACTTTCCTTCCAGCTCCCTGTTTGTGGCCCGGGAGAGCAGTAGAGGACAGCCCAAGATCTTGGAAGCCTGTGCCTGTGTGGGGGATCCGGAGGGCGTTCCTGTTTTCTGGCTTTGGATTGGCTCAGCTTTGGCTGTTGTGGCTGCTTGGGGAGTGAGCCAGTGGGCAGAGTATATTTCTCTCCTCTATAAATCTGCCTTTCACATAAAAAATGAAAAAAAAATTATGTTTTAGTCTATATATAGCTCTGATTGTCTTTGATTAGGGGGCAACTCACAAGCTAAAAAGAGTAACAGGTTTGAAATAAATTAATCAACTGAGCAACACAAATAATAATAATCTCATAAATCTTCAGTTTTAAACTAGAGGACAGCAGTGTTCTTTGTTCACTGAATAACTTTTTCTGTCCCTCCTCCCACTTTCTCAGATTTGAACTCTAGTGTTGATGGCATTCTAGTGTAGGAGCCCTGCCAAGTATCTGGGAATGCCAAATCCCTCACCGCTATAAAAGCCAAAAACAAAAGAAACTGAGAAAGTCACAGTTCAGCCCGAGAATTCTGCTTGGTGTGAGGATTCTGATTGGCAGTGCTCACCCCACTAGGTGGGCGGAAATGCCAACCACAGTAGTCTAACCCACGTGGGAATGTTTTCCTAGGAACATAGAGATCAACACAGTACAGAACAAACTCTTGGCATGCATTCTTTTCTTTCCTTTTTTATTTTTAAATACAAATCATGATTCAGGAATATTAAGAACTGAGGCTGGCTTCCGCAATGTTTTTGGAAAGGGCCAGATGTGAGGTCACTGCTTTCTTGGTTTCTAAGTCAGTCCAGTGCTGGAATTGGCGAACGTGACGGCAGACATGTGGGCAAGCTCTCGTTTTGCCTGGTGCAGGGGAGGCTTGTTTCCATGGTTAGGAGGATGCCAGACAGTTTAGGGGAAAATGAAACATGGAAAACTTGTGGGAGGAGCTACTTCCTGAAATGCATGTTTGTGTGAGTTGTTTTCAGCAGTAATTCCCTTCCAGCTTGTCAGAACTTAAAACTCTGTTCTCTTCTGTTGCTTTTCAAGAGTGGGTGCTAGCAGGGCATGGCTCTTGGTGTCACAGTGTGTGGCAGCAGCAGGGCACATGGGAGTGTGGGCCCCAGGTCCATAGCCAGCACTGCCAGTGCTCTCCAAGCGACGTGGTCTGTACTGTGATCACGTACTGAAACTCCTGACCCATCTACATCCTGACCCGCTCTCCCTTCAAGAATGAAAATAGCAAACTGCAAGGCTGGGTTTGTTGAATGAATGGGATTTGTTTTTGTTGAACTAAAGACGGGAGAGGTTTCAGGGGCTGCCAGCTAGCTGTTAGCTCTGTGAACTGACTTCAGCTGAGTGTCATGTGTGGCCTCTGCTCTCTGGATGATGACCTGCCCAAAGGCATCTTCTTTATTTATGTCTTCCTAGAACACAGTGACCTTTGCCAGCAAATCGGGGATTCTTCCTGGCTTCAGGCAAAGCTCTGTGTAGCACAGGACAAGGTAGAGATGATTCATCATAGTGAAAATGCTGGGGGGGCGCACCTGCCTCCCCCTGTGGTTCTTCTCGCCTTCTTGCCTTCATTCCCTATGTCCTATTGATCCTGATGCTGGAATGCAAGACTGTTCCTCATGCAAATAGCTAACCATCTTGGATTCTATAATAAATATACTTTGAGAATATTCAAACCTCAGTTTTGTCTTCTTTGTTTGCAGATGACTTACAGAGACCTTCCTCTCAAGCCACCCACTCCCCCAATCAACCAACCAAAATCAAATTGGTTTGTCAAGCTCCATTGGGCATTACTTTTTCATAGTTCATACATAAAAGGAGGTGATTTTTGTAGTGTCATTTGTTTGGCTATGCGCTTATGGGGGATGGTTAGTTGAATAGAGCAGTTATTAATGAGAGCATTGTAACAGCAATTTTAACAAGAGAGGCCAGAAAGTAGCTTACTTCTCTGCGGAGGAAAACTTCCCACACATGAATACTGTTACTTTCTGTCAATTTAGATGGGAAAGACTGCTCAGTGCTATCGCCCTAACTGGTTAATAATGACATATTAGCTTAACATTGCCATCAGCAGGTGGCCCTTGGAGGAGGGCTGAAAATGGCATGTACCAAAGCCAACCGTTTTTACCTTGGAGGAATGTGTAGCCTTGTTTTCCAAATGAATCTTAATGTTTTCTGCAATATAAAGTTTGGGTTTTTTTTCTTTCTTTTACAAAGTTTCAAAGAAGAGATCTGGGCCTAAGGTTCATGAGAAAAAGACTAGAAAACCAAACAGGAATTGATTTTGCTTCCTAAACTGATTCCAGCTTTTCCCCGTAAAAGTCTGATAGTCGTGCCCAAGCAGCATGAGTTCTGGGAAGAGCGAGTTCCTTCTTCTTTGGAGCTCTCCTGGGCTTCCTCGCCTTTCTGCTTGCTGCATCTGTCAGGGGCTCTCAGCACACCGCAAAGCCGGGACAGATGGGTATCATCGGTTGCTGTCTTTCAGTCGCAGAGGCATCACCGTGACAGTGAAGGGGTTAAAACTGTCAACACCTATCAGAGCTTACGGATAATTAGCCCAAGATAAGCCCAAGAGCCCTGATCCTGATGACCACACAACAAATGAGTTCTTCTAGGTTACTGCTTTTTCAAAATCCTTATTTCTCTCTCTCCTGCACAAGACGAGGATGCTATTTAAATGTCTGTGTGAAAAAGTAACTGTTGATGCATACAAATGATAATGATTAAAGGTGATTGTGAATCTTTTTTTATTTTGGAAGATGCATTTGGAGTTAGCACTTGCAGATACAAGTTGAATCGCTCTGCACCCTTTGAGCATGAGGTACGCGGCCCTTCCCATGTGTCATTGCGTTGACTGATGCTCTGTTATTCAGGTTGTGTAGTACTGAGCAATGTGATTTAGGCATGTAGACTATTACAAGATATACTCCCATGGAGTTTTGAAAAAAGATGTCTTTTTTCTTACAAGGAAAACAAAAGAAAAAAAAAAACCTACCTTTTAAGATGAAGCATAGATTTGAGAAGAATAGAATGCATTCTTCATTGATTAATTTGGAAGAGAAACTTGATATGTCGAAAGCAAAGACGTTGAAAGCTGTTTGTTGCCTAAGTCCACATGGTGGTCAGGAAGGGACAAGTGTGGCTGACGTAGGAGCAGGACGCCAGGAGGTCTCGGGGAAGAATGGGTAAAGGAGGCCTTCAATAACCCAGCTATGTTCAAATCCACAGGTCCGCATGGCCGCCATCCTAGAGTACTTAATGAATTGGCCGAAGTCATCACAGAACCGCTAGATATCATTTTTGAGCACCCGTGGAGGACTGATGAGGTGCCTGAAGACTGAAAAAGGGCATATTTAGAACCTTCTTTCAAAAAGGGAAATGGATGGTGACCCTGGAAAATATTCATCAGCTTAACTTTTGTCTTGGAAAAGTTCTGGAATAATCAACTTAGTAAACTGGGTAACCGATGTGCAGTAACTAGAAGAAAAAAGGCAGTGAAATATTACGTCTGAAGATGTGCTGAGGTCGTTTTTAAAGACATGTCACTGAGAGACAGTCTCATACATATTTTGGGATTCTTCCATTCATTCTATGAACTGATGAAAATAGATGAAGCTGGCTAAGGCATTTTGGAATTGCTAATTTTAAGTACGCTCCAAAAACTTAAAAAAAAAAAAGGTTTCTAACATTAACTAGTACTAATGTCATTTCCAGATTAACTTTTAACATGAAGACAATAATTTTCATTTTGTGTTTTTTTTTTTAGCATACATGTTATTTCACTTCTTATGGGAACATGTTCTTGTAAATTGAGATCCTTTCTGTAATTATGTGTGATTGGGTTCTTACTTTAAGGTGCTTTATATAGGTATTTCCCATGTAGGTGCAATCATTCAACTGATAAAAACATCATCAAGGAAAGAACTTTTCTAACTTTGTAGAGTTTATCTGGCTTGGGTTTAGGAACAGCACTCTTAAGAGTGTTGTGCTGTGATAGATGCTGAGGATGAGTCATTCAGATGCTCCAGCAGGTCCTCTCCTCCGCTCCCCCCTCCCCGAGAGAGTTGCAGCACCAGGGTCCCGCCTCATTTGCCACAGTGCCTTAGCCCATCTCACCTCAGCTGGCTGCCGATACCAATTCTGTGCTCGTGCAGGAAGATGGAAAGGGTGTTGGACAAGGGGAGCCCGAGCCTCTTGCAGCCAGTTAAGAAGAGTGGATTGCTGAGGGAGAGAAATTAAGGTGAATCTGGAAGATTTCTGAATCTTAGTGTCCTTGCCTTTGTCTGTTAATAGTGTTATTTTCTGCCTAAAAAAAAAAAGGTCAACCGTATTGATAGGATCAAAAACTTTGTTGAATGGAGTCCATGGAAGAGATCTAATTAAGCAAGAAGCCCTCGGGGTTGACAGCTGAACTCAAGAGCACGGATGCGTTCGATAACCTTCCCTCCTCCACTTACAGGATATGAGATGCAGGAGTTTACATTAGCATTTGTGATAGACAAAAATAGTAAGAAACTCAAAGAAACAGAAAGTTACATTCCTTTTTTTCCTGCTGCATACTGGTCCCTGGACATAGAAGGGCCTGGATGAGAAGCATGAGGTCTCCCAGGGCAATTTTAACACAATGCTACCTTACATGTTAATACTTATAAGCATTAATTAATGTAAGGAAATTAAAGACTAAACGCCTGCAGAGATTGTCTTTTCAGTTGCTTTCATGAGATTTTACTTCGATGAATTTTACATCTTTTGTTTTTCAAGCGAATCATAGACTTTAACATTTCCAAGATAGATTTTTTTACAGGGATAAGGGAGTCTGCATGGGTCACTGATATAATTTATTGCTATAATAAATGGCTTCCCCCTCAAGACCTCACTTCCAGGTGCAGCATCTGTAGTCGATTGACATCACAGATGGACCTATGCGTGCGTTTGTTGAACTGTTGCTGGAAAAACTTCAGCACTAACTACGATCGTGGTGCAATCCAGTACAACCAGAAGAAAAGGGAGGACTCTGTATGTTCATTTCAGGTTTTGTTTTCTATTGCAGTTATGCTTCTATTATTTGGTCAAATTTAAAGCTTTTTACCTGCTATTGGAATTTGAGAATAACAGTACTCTAGCTGAATTAAGAGTCACAGTTTAAAACACAAAATAGCCAATGGGTTGTAAAGTCTTCTTAGTTAAAATTAGAAGAAGAATAGCTAAAAACAAGCAAAGACATATGGAAGGAAGTATATTAATTCCTTTGCATTAAATCACAATAAAGCATGGGCCCAGTGTGGTAGCCTAGTGGCTGAAAGTCCTCATTTTGTATGCTCTGGGATCCCATCTGTGTGTTGATTCTAATCCTGGCGGACCTGACTCCCATCCAGCTCCCTTTGTGGCCTGGGAACATAGTAGAGGACAGCCAAAAGCCTTGGGACCCTGCACCCATGTGGGAGACCCAGAAGAAACTCCTGACTCCTGGTTTCGAATCAGCACAGCTCTGGTCGTTACAGTCACTTGGGGAGTGAATCACAGATGGAAGATCTTCCTCTTTTTCTCTCTTTCTCCCTGTATATGTGACTTTCCAATAAAAATAAATCTTTTTTTAAAAATCTCAATAAAACAACATGTACAATGTAAGGGAAAGGAATTATATCATGAACTACATCTGGAGACACTATGCATAAAAATAGTGACTTTTTTCAGTCTTTTATCTGAATGCTAATGATATCTTTGAATATAAAGGAAGAAGCAGTTGACTCAAGAACAAATATGTTATCAAGACTAGAGGATTATCTTGATTTATATTTTCTAGAACATCACAAGAGATTAATTAGACTTTGACTTTGTAACATCGAAAAATTTGGAAGATTACTGAAAAATTTTCTTCAGTTCGTCCTTGAGCAGAATTTAGAGAGGATGAACAGATTTCATTGCTATGAGATGCTTCTTGGCAAGGGGAACACGTGAGTTTTAAATGCTCCTTCCTTAGAGGAATTAAACCCCAAGCCTTGGGAAAACCTGTACTACAGCAACAAAAGACAAGTATATGTCCAGAGAAATTTATAACCTCTTGGTGTTGTTAAGAAAAAGCAACAATATGCCTTGAGTTTACAATTCCTCGGATCTTCGGTCCAACTCCAGGATTAGCCTTGTGACGTTGTTTCCTGTGCTGCATCAGCTGAGCGCAGAAGCCACAGTGCACCTTGCGGAGTGATCCCCAACAGTTGTGGAACTTACTAAAGATGCGTTTTCTCTTGTCATAAGAAGGGGAAACTATATCCAGTGCCTCCCAGGTTGAAGAGTTCAGTAACTTAACACGTGCACCTCTTGGCCCAGAGCTGGTACATCATGGTGCTGACTGCCTGACTTGCTCCCCTCCCTTACTTTGAGCTATCATCATTATCTCCTCTTGAGTGGAAGAGATTACTTCAGATTGAGTAGCAAGCCTAAGCGATGACTAGCTTGCACCATTCACTGATGGGATCTCTGCTGTGTTTGAAGAATATTTCCCCCTTTAAAAAATTATTTTATGATATAGTTCCAAAGACTCTGGATTTCCCTTACCCCCTCTCCAAGTCCTTCCCCCCTACCACTGATTCCTCCTAAGTTATTACAATAGTATAGATCTTCATAAACAGTCAAAATGGCAAAGAGTCCAGCATCCTATTGTCAAGATATAGTAAACAGTTTCATTGGGAGTCTGCCTTTGATCTGCAAGTGGAAATGCACATTACATTGTATCTTCACATCTGGTCATCCTTGCGCAGGAGCCATGCTAATCTTCTCTGCATTGTTCCAATTTTAGTATATGTGCTGTTGAAGTAAGCACGTATCTACCCATCTGGATGTGATAATTCTCCATTACACAGTCACTATACATTCCCTTAAAAGTCTCAAAATAAAAACAACAGAAAGTAAAACGGAAATTTACAATGCCATGAAGTTAGATAACATGCAACTGAATGACTAATGCATCTTTGAAGAAATGAAAATCAAGAACATTCTTGAAGAAAATGATGCTACAGTATGATCTATGAGTTAGTGAAGAATTTAATGAGGAAAATTTTTTTTGAAGAAATGAAAATAAATGCAGTAACATCAAATTTATGAGATATAATTTCTGCTGATCTTTGTTGGTGGGATGTGTTTCATAGATGGCAGATTGAAGATTTTTTTTAAAAAGGTTACTCAGAGTAGGGACGAATTAAGCAAATGTTTAATGATTGAATGAGGAGAATGTGGGTTTTTAAACGGCAATGAGCCAGTTCATAAAGGCCACCCATTTTCAGATCTGGAGAACTAATGACAGAGACATATATGAGTGTATTTGCTATATTCCCTCTTTTTACAGAGGTTTCAGGCTTATAAATTTGGGGTGCAAATGAGTGAGTGGCCAATATGCATTTTCCTATGATTTTATGGCTGTGATTTTCAAAGTAGGATTACCAGAGGGCCCTCCCCTGGTTGCTACTTCTGAGATGTACCAAGCCAAGACAAAGAGCAGGTTATGGCAGATCAGCAAGCTCTGTTATTGAAGGAAAACCAGATGTGGCAGTGCAGAAAAGCACCTGCTGGAAACTAAGACGCACATATCTGAACTTTTCTCTAAGGGTCCTACATATTTTAAGCAAGTCCAACAGCAAGAGAGGTTAAAGGAAATGAAATCTTGGCACAAATGTTTGATATGTATGATTTCTGACATGTCATATTCAATTAGACACCAAAATATCATGCTCAGGTGAAGTGTTTCCAACTTTCAAAGTTGATGTTGGATTAAGAGTGGAACCTGATACCCAGGGGCATGGAAGAGAAATGGGAGTCTGACCCTAAACTGCCATTTCTCAGTTCTGACCAAGAGCCACGTATCAGGGACATTTTACACCAGCTGACAACTTGTGTTTAGAATAAATCTATATAGGTTCATGCACAGCTGCTATATTAACCAAATCAAGCAGTGCAGAGCAAAGCAAAGCAGATTGATTAATTTTTATAGGAAAGTCAGATTTACAGAGAAAAGGAGAGACAGAGAGGAAGATCTTATGCCTGCCTGCTGCTTCACTCCCCAAGTGGCTCCAACAGCTGTAGCTGAGTCGATCAGGAGCCAGGAACCAGGAGCTTCTTCTGGGTCTTCCATGTGGGTGCAGATTCCCAAGGGTTTTGGCTGTCCTTGACTGCTTTCCCAGGCTATGAACAGGGATTTTAAGTGGAGCAGCTGGGAAATGAACGAACACCCACATGGGATCGTGGAACATGCAAGGCAATGACTTTAGCCACTAGTTTACTGTGCTGGGTCTATCAGACTTTCTCTTGAACAAGTTCTGATTTTCCTCTTGCTAGTTCTTTTAGTAGTCATTAAGTACATATCCTATATCAGCTTTTAAAAAAACTAGCCAAATTTATATTGTAAAAGTCATGTTTATCTAATTGTGATAACTAGTTCATGATTAGTAGTCACCATTTTAGGTATTTCTATAAAACACTGAAAGGTGGAAAATGATGGGTTGAAATGAATAACTGTTTAACTTCAGTTCTTACAAATGAAGTTCTGATTTTTACTGTTGTTAAAAGATAGCCTTTGTAGTAAGATATGGGCAGTGTTTTTTGGACAAATTTGTCAAAATTGCTTCCACTATTTCAAAAGGAAATAAATCAACTTCTGAACACTGTTTCAGAGATGGAGCGTGTGTTTTATAGTTCTGTTTTGTTCCATGGTCTTTACTGGATGTGTTTCCCTTGGTATTTAAAAGATGGAATGCTGTGTTGAATACCTTGAGGGCCAAGTGGTGTATTAACTCAGACAAATGGAAGAAATGTTCTTATTCACTTCAACGGTCACTCTGTCCTCCATATTTGATGGTGTTCTGGGATGCTCTTGGAGTTGCCCAAGCCGCTCTGCCTTGAAGATTCCCGTTCATGCAGCAGGCTCTACATGGAGTTGGAATTCAACATGTATATATCCAAATAGCCAAGCACAGTCATCCTAATTAAAGCTGAAATTTGGTGTTGTAATTGTAATTGCAACGGACACTCTATTCCTTTCCAGTTATTTTTCTCAAGGGATTGAGAAAGCACCATGAAAACCTAGTTGGAACATCATTGCCAACCATGTAATTTGTGCCCTTGCAGCCATGAGGTTTGCAAACATCTGTTTGCTCTTTAATAAATATTACAGATTCCTCAACAGTTCTGCTTCAGCCTCTTGTGTGATCTTTCATCTTTTGATGACTGTTACAGAGTTCGTGCTTTTTTTAAATTAACATATACATGTTTGTGGTGTTATAGCACTGTAGTAAGCTTAAAAACATCAGGGATCTGGCAGGAGTGAAAAGAGAATGTCTCTCTCCCTCCCCAGCCTGCATGTAAAGTGCAAATAGATCCACCAGATGGGCCTGGATGCTTTTGTGTGGTTGTTACATGTGAGTATAATCTGTGAGGTGTGGTGACTCACCAAGTGGGAGGCAGAGTGGCGGGGTACCTGGGTGTATTTCATAAAGTTGTCAGAAAGTGGAATGAAAATGGAAAGTTGCTACAACTTTTTTTGGAAACTGTACAAAAGGCTGTGAAAAGTTTGTGAGAGATACACTTTTTATTTTTCCTCCAGCTTTTTGAAAGGACCTTGTATCTAAAGGTAGGATGAGTGCGTGTGGAGTTTCTGCTTGTGTGACTCTGCAATAGTTCTCAGATGCCAACTCTCTCACCTGAAGATTGCCTTGGCTTGGCTGTAGATAACAAGTATTTCAAAGGGTATTGAATTGAATCCTGTGTTCAAATCCCAGCAGTCTTACTGTCTGGCTACAAAATCTTGGGCCTTATTGTATATTCTTAGTGCAGTTATTGTATATGCTTAGTATAGTAACCAGCCCAGAAAGGGTCATTCTAAGATTGGTGACAGTATTTTGTGCTAGATAAGTATTATAATGTGTTATGCTGTGATGATGATGATGGATGTCTCTTTTGATTCCTACAAAATAGAAGATGGCAATTAATTAAAGAACATGTAGAGTAAAATTAGGAACATATAGACATTCAAATTTTAGAAATGACAAGAGAGTTTGATGTTATCTCCTCTGATTTAGCACTTTGGTTGGTAAGTTGCAACAGAACCTGGAATTGGAGGCTTCTTGTATAGCAGTTAGTTGGTGGCTCATGGCCGAGATTCTTTCAGATCTTCTTGTTCTGTTTTTATTTTTTGTTACTGTTTGTTTTTTTGTCTAATTCTGTATTTTATAAGGCACATATAAAGGATTCTGTGGCATATGCAGAAAAGATCTGTAGTTTGAATTGAGTTCGAGTTTATCAGTGCTTACCAAAATGTAGCCAAAGCCCAAAACAGTCCCATTCAGGTCCGCACCATCTTTCCTCTTTAAAACCTTATGCTGCTAGTCTTACTTGATTTCAAAAGGATGTTTAGGGACGCTTATGATGTTGGTTGGCAGCACAAAGATGTATTTTTTTTAATGGAGGGAAATCACAAATGCAATTGTGTGTTAATGATTAGCGTACTTTATATCATTAATAAACCACTTCATATTGGGCAGGTTTTAAAAAGTTTTAAAAGTCTTTCATCTAAATTTGGATAATGAATACCTTCTACTCTTATTTCCATTGAAAAACTTACTTTCCATCTCCTCTTAGAGTTACATGGACAAAGTACATTCCTGTAATATGGACACATTTTGCCCCAGCTCCTCTGCTTTCAAATATATCTGTGCACCAATCACAGGATGTCTGTGGGCTCCCATATTTTTTTTTTGATTCAACTTTGAGCCCTGCCTTTGAACTGTACATATTCATTGTGCATTCTTCACATACCTTTGACTTCATCGTCTGTAGGAGTATGTTTTGCATGTTAGCCATTTTACATAGAGACATTTACATATATAACACACACACATATAATTGCCTGTAAATCAGAGACCCTGAATTCAGTCTTGGTTTTCTTGGTGAGAAAAGCTGTCTGGGACACTTCCTTTTACACCTTTGCTCGCCCATCACCATCTTGGTGATCAGCATTGCCAAACATGTCTCATGAAAGGTTTAAGAAACAGATGGTATCGGTGAACATAACCTTGCATTTTTAAGAAGCAAATCATTGAATGACATGAAGCTTTTTTTTTTTTTCCAAGAATTTCCACCAGGCTAGGAGCAGGTTTGGTCTGTCCCTGGTTGGACTGTTCCCCATTTGGCACTTCTTCATGTATTATCTGGCACATTGTATCTGCTTAATAATCATAATATAGAATGAGCAAGCACTACATGGACTTTGTCATGTGCCTGAACAAACTGAGCTCTGGGATTGCATGCATTGATTGCACAGAAGCATTTCCTGTTTTTTAGAAAATGTGGAGCAGCACTGGAGCCCCTGCTTGCATAGGACAGCGTGTCCTGCATCCTCAAATCTGGGAAGCTGAGTTTATCAGTTCATCCTAGGGTGTCATTTTGTTCTGATTCAGGTGTTCTTATTTTTATGTCTTCTCTCATATTAAACCATCAGCTTATAAGTTAAAACTCCATTTGTTAGATTTTCTTTGGCAGACACGTATTGAAACACTTTAATTTGTGAAGGTGTGTGCAGATCCTAAAATGACAAGCCAAGTTAACGAATACTTTCTTTTGGTCCTATTTTCTTACTCTGAACTGTGAGAAAAATAATCCATTTCTGCAATTAAAACTGGTAAATATCAATCCTTGCAATTAAAGCTAATGAAATAAGTTAATTGTATTATCACATATGTGTTAGCATATGGCATGCTACTAGACAGGGTACAAAGATATTTTATATTCTACTCTATACAAATGCAAACTTAGATTATGTAATGAGATACCTCT